GGAACGGGACCAAAACACCAGCAGATGGTAGACCCAAGTTTTTCCCTGGTATCTCTTCTGTAGTCTAAAGAGTTGCATCAAAGATGAATTTGGCAGCAATTGTAATATGGATTGCAAACTGAGACACCCTGGAATCATCATCTCTACCAAGCAGTTATGGTTTTAGTCATCATGACATCCAGTTCCTTTCCTTTGTTCCCTCTCTTAGTGATATTTACTTCACCACCTACATAGATTATTACTATGTAAACTTTAAAAGCAAACAAAAGCAGCTAATACATAAATGCATCTGGCACAAACTGAACTGCAAAATCTGTTATTGATAATGCCTGTTGCAGAGAGCCACCCCTACAAACATCCCTAATGGCGAGAAAACAACTCCAGGTCAGCAACAGTCTTAAAACTATGTATCCTCAATGCCAGTGCTCGCAGGAACATCATACCAGGTAGAGACACCAGTATCCCAGGCAGAGACACCTGTAACCCAGGAGGTTACAGGTTCCCTTCCTCATCAGTCGTCTTGCCTGACTGGGGACATAAGAGCACAAAACAAAACACATCTTATACTTCCCCTGGTGTTAACTGTTGCACCCCACATGAAGGTAGTGGTTGGACTCACCTGTGGCTACTGGCTGGTTACAACTTTTAGATCTCTCTATGTCATTACAGTATTTTTGTTATTCTCATTTTAATAATGCTGTGAAAAATACTCCTCTAGTCACACTCCTATTGACACCTTAACGTGTTGAATACGTGCAGGATTTGGTTTAGAGCTGCACTATCTGGAGGGCACAGGAGACTGTTTCCTTATTGCCCAGGAATTACATAATCTGAATGGGGTCATAATGCCAGAACATGAGTATGATGTCCGTGCTACTCCCTTCCTGTGTTTATACAGAAAGATGATTAGTGGTTTATTCTCCCATTCTGGTTTAGCAACCACCAGCCCCCTACATGACTTCTTGAAATACCAAGCCCAATTCCTGTTATCCTGCACCTTCAGCAGTTTAGCTGAAGCTAAAACTGAAAAGCTCAGCCAGGTCAAGGCTTCTCAGTGACTGAATTTTGTCATCCCAAGTGCAAGAGGCTGCATGACTTGCTGATCCTACCACAGGAGGATGATGGGGAGAAGGGGCAGAGCCACACTGTTGCCTTGGAAAGGGATAGGATAGGATAACAATGGGGACTGTTGCTGCTGGGAGCATGCTGTTTTGGTCCCTCATCGACATCACTCCAGGATCCTTATCTGTTAATCACCAATTAGTCAGTATTTTCTTTCTCTTTCCTAAACATCGTTTGTAGTCTCCCCTGAGACAAGATCCTTGTGGCAATTTTACAATTGCAAGTCATAGCACGCAGAACACTCTGCCCAATAAATTTGCAATCTAGCTAAAACATTTTACCATTTAGTATAACCATTCCTTACTAATATTTGAGGTAGCTTTCATGGATGCTTTGAAGGCTTTGTTTTGGAATGGAACACCATTCACCTGGGTACTCTAGCACAACTGGATCACAGTTTTTGCGTATATACAGACAATTGGAAATATTATAGTGTTCCATCTCATAAAGTGAAAATTTCCAATCCATTTCTGGAGTCTAATTTTCTTTCCTATTTTAGGGCCAAGTGAACTTGATTGCAGTCTGGTTATGGATTCTGGAGATACTGTTTATACAGACTTTGACTTTGAAGACCAGGTAATTTTATGTATATATGGCCTCTCTCTAGACAGTTTTCTAGTTTATGTACATACTGTGCTATACAATTTGTCTGAACAAGGTGGTGGAATTTTAATGGTACCTAAGCCAAAGGGCTTTTTAAGTGCAATATAAGTAAATTCGTGATACACAGAGGTTGCTTTCTGGTTATGAGAAGAGAGTGCATATTATCGTGGCATTAAGAGCCCATATCTTCCATTACGGTACATTTCTGAGTTTCCTCCACAAATTTTAAAATGTTGGCAAACATGGCAAATAGAATTTTTGGAATGCACTGTAAGTCTACTGTATATTTAAGAAGAGGGAGTAAAACATTTTCCAAAAAGAGAGGCATGAAAATACAAGAAGTGTGAAATGTAACCAAAACCAAATCAAACATCCTACCCTTGAAAAAGAAAAGTGTTTTTAAGAATAAAACAAGAAATGCTTGCAGTGTGTTGAAACCAGTCTTTCCACTGATCCCATTCTATCCACATCTAAAAACTAAATTGAGATAGTGTTTTCCTTGTGCATAAGAAGAAAGAAGGCTAGAGAGGAGAAAAAATGTTGTATAAATCTTTCCCCTCTAATCTTCACTTCAGCACTACTAAGGCCACATCTGGAGTAACGTATCCAGCTCTGGGCTCACCGGTACAACATATGAAGCTACTTGTAACAGTCCAGTGAAGGACCATTAAGATGATTAAGGGACTGGGCCATCTCTCCTATGAGGAAAGGCTGAGAGAGCTGGGAGTGTTCAGCCTGGAAAAGATAAGGCTTGGGGGGGATCTCATCAATGTATACAAAATCTGAAGGGAGCATGCAAAGAAGATGGAGCCAGGCTCTTTTCAGTGGTGCCCCGTGACAGGACAAGAAGCGATGGGCACAAACTGAAACACAGGAAGTTCCTGTGGCTTGGATATTGTGCTAAGGATAAGCATTATTATTTTTGTTACTGTGCTGTGGATAAGCATTAAAAGAATGATTTATAATTAGAAAAATATTGTTAAAGCCATCTGCCTATCACACCACCATACTTAAGAGTGGTGGGTTTGTATGTTTTGCTTTCTGCCTTTCACTTTTGCACAACTCTGCTTGCATTTTCTTCATGAATACCACAAATACTTCTCTAGATTCGCAAGCAGCTTGGCAAAGAATGTTGTGTTTCTGTTATCATTCACCAAATGCAGTTGTGAATGTTCTCAGCTCTTTCCTCATTATTCACAAAAGATACCTTTTCTTGTGACATTTTACAGAGAGTGACAGAATCAGGACCAACAAAACTGTATTTTCATACAGTATCATCCATTCATTCATTAGTTTTCTTTCACAGTATTCAATGCAACATTTTATCCTCACCTGCAAAATGTTCTATGTTCTAGCCCTATTAATTTCTGTTAATTTATGCTCCTTTTACTGTTCTTTTTGGCTCAGTTATTTCAACTTGGTTTTTTTCAAGCAAACAGCTCGCCTCTGCCTCCAAATCCCATTCTTTCACAAATCCTTCTTAAAACATTCTCTATCCCAGGAAACTCTTAAATTTCTCATCATCTTTGTCTTGACTGTACTACTTCGCTACTGCAAGGTTTAGGCCTTTATGCCGTATAAAGCAGAATGTATATTTAAATCATATTTGGATTATGTTGATGTTAAATTTTGCATTTTAATGACATTTAAAATACATTCGTTTGGCAGAGTATAAACAGTAAAGAAATTATACTCTTGGTTCATAACGTTTGAAATGCTGTGCAAATAATAAGCTTGAGTTTTATAGTTACAAAATAAAATTTACAGAAATAAATATATGAAAATTATACTAATTTATAATTTCAAACTATATGGTTCACTGATGATACATTGCACAGTCCATAACAGCACCAACTGTAGTTTTGAATAAAGTTGCACGTGATTCTTAAGTGAAACTAAAGAAGACGACTACAACTGCTATTTGTTAATAGCAAATATTCTTTCTGCCAGATGTGGTGATTAGCTTTTCTGATTATTTTGCCAGCCCAACACATTGCCATTCTGGCAAGAGTGCAATACTGTTATCAAACAGAGAAGGAGAAATGAAGTAAAAACAGTGCTAAAAACCCTTCAGTCAAAGAGAGATATATAAATATTAAGTGGCTGCCAATGACTCTCTTCAACTGCAAGTTGGTATCTTTGATATTTATCAGTGACATTTAAAAAAATATAAATATTTCTATTACTAAAAAATATTTTTATACCTAGTTCATATGACATGCCTTGTACAAATATAAAGACAATATAAAGAAGAAAGCAATTGCAACCAAAAGCCCTTACTGTCTAAATTTTGAAGTGGTGCAAGCAAGTATTATATGCAGAAGCAAAGAAGGGGAGTGAAGATTACCATAAAGTCATAATACCATCTAGCTACCCAGTCTGAAAAACAAAATTAGAAATTACTCTTAGGAGGAAAACATCAGTAACTAAATTCAAGAGTGAGGAACTGCTCGCATTCAAAACTTGAGCTCATTTTGACTGCAGCAGTGATTTAATACTCCAGTGATTTACCACATGCTGCTTACAAATTGCACGAAGCACCAACCACCTTTACTCAGAGAATCTCAAGTGGAAAATGAATGCGTGTCTGGATACAAATGTGTCATGCAATGATGTTATTGCATAGGAAATCTGTCATGAGAAGGTGGGGGATAAGAAAGCTGGTTTCTAAGCAACCTTACACAGCTAAGCTGCTGAATTTTATGGCTGAATTTTAGCAGAATATCTTGGTAGTCACTGAACAAGAGGAGTTGGAGGTTAAAGCAGTACACAATGTACTGAAGACAAAGCCACAGCTGGGCATGAGTATCACTTGGCACAGCTGAAATGGACGTACACAGATACCTTTGCATTTTCTCATTCTTGGAATGAGCCAGAAAAATCTCCAGTGTTAACTAAGCCAACAAAGAAGTATCAGAATTCTTTAGATGTATTACTTCTTCCAGGATGACCTTTCTCACTGGCAGGCAGGAACAAGGAGAATGAGTGCTGTGGTTCCAACTACTGATGTAGTCATCAGCTCATCTAGGAGTGCTCTAAAATACAGCAAAGTTTGGTACCTCTTGTTGAAACAGTGCAAAGCAACGCTAACGCAGGCTAAGATCTGGCTTTTCTGGAGGAATATGCAGGGGAAATTGAATTAAAATGAACTCAGAAAAAGCTTGAGCTTTATATTGTACATTTTATAAATGAATGTTCGATTAAATTCGTGTAACTAAATTAAAAGCAAGCTGATTGTTTTCTACCAGCTATGCATGAATGCTTCAAGAACTAGAACACTTGTAATGACTAAGTCCCTACAGCATTGAAATACAGAAAGGAAATACCCACTTTTTTTTAAAAAAAAAAAAAAAAAAAAAGAAGAAAAGAGAGTTCTCCAAATCACTAATAACTATTTTTCTGTTCTTTCTCAGATCTGTAGCTGTCAGATCCTGTGTTACAGAAGGAATAATCTAGGTTTTTAGAATGAGTGCCTAAAATATATTCTTCCAAAAGATAAAAATAAAAGAAGACAGTACCTCTTATTGAGAATGCCTTCTGGAAGAACCAGCCAAAGTTTCATGTGGTAGCAATCTCTGTAGCCTTTTTGGGACTAATGATTACACTGCTCATGACATGATTGAAAAACATAAAAGCACAGTAAACTGATAACATCAGTGAAAATATCTGAAACTTAAGACATCAGGAATGTGTTTTGGGCTACTCATTTTTGGGTGCAACAGCATAGCTTCTAATGAGGGAAGACCTGTGCTTTATAGAATATTCTCAATTTGCAGAACTCGCTGTCATGACTAGCGTCTGGTTTAATAAGGATTGTCTTTTGCTGCTGGAATGCTCTCAAGTGCAACACAGGATTTCACTGCTCGCTGTGTTCATTTATACTTGCCGTTCAATTTCTCAACTTTGCCCAAGAGGCTGTCAATATAATGCCACTTGCTTCCAGAGATCAGGCAAGTTTTAGCTTAAAGAATTGGATTTTCAATTAGAAACCTACCATTTGGCTTATTTCAAGTGCATTCAGGCCAAAAGGGAGTTTTGAAAAATTGGCATCAGTGAGTCCTGCCAAAGAGTTCCAGAAGAGCATCCAGTTATTTTCTTGTGAAAACAAGACTTTCAAGACAACCTTAGCTAGTCTGAGGACTATTTAGACTAATTAGAGAAAAAGTTAAAACATACAGTCAGATGACTGCAGAGTGAATACACTCCTGAACAAGTGCTTATAGAATTGATAACTTTCAAATTTGGGAAACATGAAAATCAGGTAAACTTCAGTTTAAAACCTTAAAAATATACTTAGCCTCTTCTAATATTTGGGATAGGAGGGGAATATATTTCACATCTACAAAACATGGAAGCTCATTTTTCATAACTGAGGCATTTCCATGTCCTTCCAGTGTCAGACTGCATTTACTTAGGCAATTAGGGGAACACAATGGCACATGCAAAGGAGAGATTGCCTTCTTCCCCCTGCCCCAGAGTGCTAAAGACCTAGGAAAAGTAGGTGTAAAAAAGACTGAAAGATAATAAAAGGTTTTCTGTTCAGCAGTGACAGGCAATCTATTGAATTAAGAAAATTGCGTAACCCAATCTTTTCTGCAAGTGCAGAATGTTTTATAATTAGAAAATGTGACAGCTCACTTGAAAAGCAACAAGCAAACCCAAAATGAAGTGGAGGAAAAAAGGCCTCAAAGAGACTTACTCTCATTGTAATGAGAGGAAACAAGCTCTTGATTAAAAGTTGTTGCCATGTACTGACAATTCTTCTTACAGCTCACTGTCATTTCCCACCCAGAGCACATATGAATGTGGGCTTTACGGGAGCAGGAGGAAAGCTTTAAGTGAACCGATGATAAACAGACTCCATTGCTGCCAAGACTATAACAACATTTCCAGCCTGACTGATTATCATAGCTTGAAACTTTAATATTAAAGAGAGATAATCAAAAGGCCCTGAAAGTCTTTTCAATGCCGAT